GATGACTTTTAGAAAAATATATTTTAGTGTTAGATTCGGATCAAAATTTGTACTTATTGTTAGCATAACTCGCATTAGTAATATTCAGTTCACCTTCACTCTTGGTATTATCACTTGTCTCGTTAATGTCACCGTTCGTATTAGTTTCATCTATGTACCTCAAATTTAGAGATGATTTATTGAGAAAATATTTTAATATTACCTTCGGACCTTAATAAGCACCCGAAATTTTGGTCCATTTTTCTATGTTTTTCTCTTTTTATCCATAACTATATTTCCATTTCCATTCTTAAAGGGCTACCCGTAGCACGATCGATCAATTACTTGTCATAACTTTCTTTGCAATTTTTGACTTTCGATTCTTATACGAACACAAAATTCTAGTTTTCGATATACTTACTGACCTGGAACACTAGAGAGTTGTATGGAAAGTCATTTCGTTTTTTTCCCCAACAAAGAAATTAATTGTATTTTCTCTTACATTTAAGCCGCATAGTCGTTGTATATTTTGATAGATGGTATAACAAGGTTTGCTTATTAAAAAGTTTTAACGGATTCTAGGCAGTAGTTGCCCAGTGCTCGATATCCTTTCAAATATAGAGCACTTTTGGAATATTTTGTTCTCTTGTCTGCCATCGAGAAGGTAAAAGTGCGATTTAAGGAAAATAAACAAATATTCGATGTATAAGGTGAGGAGAGCCAGTGCCAAAATTCGTTTAGGCAATTTGGGTTTTGAAGATATCCCACGTTCTGAAAGGCCTTCGTTGCATTGATGCAAGTTGTCGAATATTAACTCGATATTCAGCCTAACGTTCATGATGACGTGAAACGTCACTGTAAAAACATCGTCTTGCGAACTACGTTGACAACTGCTTGATAGAAAGCTTAATACTCACCGGACTCATACACGATCTTACTTATCTGTTATGATAGTCGTTTAGTCGGTCAGTCAGAATATGTTGCGCATTTTCTTTCGCTATCAGTTAACTTTTACTACGACCGATTTTTTTTTTTATCGATTACGAACCGTACTGACGTAAGTGTATTAGAATGTTGTCCTGATGCAGCGATTAAAGAATTTTTTTTTTTTATTGCTATAAGATATTTTCATTAGAACGGTAATAGAGGAAAACTACCTGTCCTTACGTTCTAAAACGGGGACGACCGTTTAGATTTTTGCTTCGATTTGTTTTTTCTCTGCATGGAAAGGTTGAAATTAAAGATTTATATAGCAATCAAAGCTTTACGACTATTTTTAAAAAATGGATCGATTTACTCCTTTCAATGTGTTTTCCTAAGCACTTTTATGGAATGATATGTATATTAGAAAAATTTAACCTTATTTTTTGCCCAACGGCCAATTAAATTCGAAGGAATTTTCTATAAGCAAAACGGGTTCTGTAAGCGAAACTGGATAAAATATTTTTCACAAAATGAATTTTGAAAAGGAAAATTTTCATTTATTTGCCATTTAAGTTAAATTAATAAAATCATAAATACTTATATAAATTATTAGACCTAGATGTAGTATTATAAATCAAATAATAATAATATATTTAGAAAAATTGGATAAACAGCATTTAATTTATAATGCAGAAAAGAAAGAAGAAAAAATTTTCAATTAATTTAATAAAGGAGAAGAAGTGAAGCAAAAGAAGAATCCATCCACACATTTATAGTATTCATTAGATTTGCTTTAAGAAACAACATGAAGCGATCCATCGATATATATATAGTGCTTTAATAATAATGCTTTAAAATTTATAAATTTTTTTTTTTTTTTTTTGCAAATCTGCGAAAAAAGTAAAAGTAAAGAAGAAATTATTAAAATTGAAATTGAATTTTTTTTTTTAATTAACAGTTTCTGTAATAGAATTGTATGTCTACTATGCCGCTATGCTATAGGCGTAGTCGTACGCAGCGTACGTTGACGAAAAATCATCCGTATTCGTATATCGCTAGTTCACCTTTAGATTTTAATCGAACAGAAATCCTTAGCGCACTCAAAGTAAGACTGTGCGATTTTCCACAGCCAGGTCAAATGCGAGGAATTAACAAACTTATTCACTGAATTCAAATACAATCGCATAAATGTTTCATTTCTTAACAATGTGTTCGATATGATGAACAATATATGATTTAGGTCCGATTTTCAAATATCTATTTCATTTCATTTCATTTTGTTTCATTCATTTATTCAATATCAGGATATAAGACTGTGGCGTAATGTAATCATATAGACTTGAATTTTAAATCAAAGTATGTAAGATACAATAATTCGTATACATATATACATACGCATATAGTCTAATCATACCGTCAGAATTAGCTCCCAAACCCAATTAGATCGAAGATAGACAGATAAAAATGAAAATGCACTGCAAGCTAAAGATGCAAATTGCAGAATAATTCCAGTCAGTAATAAATCACATTTACATTCATATATACATATAATAATATATAATATTCATAGGAAGGTAAGTAAAATTTAGTTTAAAAGTTTAAGTCGACAAACATTATTAGAGCGTTAGAAAATATGAAATGAAATTCATATCGCAAACCATTCCAAAGAAACAAAGTCACTCTCACCAGAAAAGATTTCTGAAAAAGCAATCTATAGATCCTTGAAAATATCGATTTAAGAATTTCGAAAAAAAATCATTCGTTACCACATTATTATGAAATGATACTGAAAATGAATTTTGAACATAAGACAAGATGTATGAGGCTAACGTGTGACATTGTACACAAAAATCTGACAATCATGTTAACTATACGCCCCAGACTAAGCAGTACAGCTTCAGAAGAGTCTGCCTAATATGCTAAGGTAGATACATATTATTGGCGTAAATCGTCCATAGCGTACCCAGACCGAAAGACCATTGTTTATGTTATCTATGATATAATTGAAATAAAATGAAATAATTGTACTTGAGATAAATTTGCTTACTTGCATATGATAGTAAAAATCGTTATCATTCTTGTTAAAATCTGAATTCGAATTGAATTAATTTTGCGATTAATTTCAAAAATAAACTTGAATCTTTATGAAATATTCGACTCAAGTGTCAAGGTCATTGCGTATCTACAAGGATTTCTGTACTGTATGGGAATAGCGAAAATAGTAACAAAAATGAACTCGTAACATTTTTAAAATATTTCTTTGCTCATTTGCACAAAATACGGTATCTTTTATTCGAATATAAACGATACGATAAGTTACATAAATTGTATTTGGCTTTGCAAGACAACAAATGCATGTTATTGGGAGTACAAATTATTTCGGTCCGCTCTCGCGGCCACGAACGTGTCACAGTGACAACCGATTTCGATGCTTTCAAACATCTGTCAGTAATATTGAGTTCATATCGCCTTTAGTTTCATAAAAATATCATGGTTTTCACTTATTAGTTTCAATATATTAAATTTGGTTTTAACTAAGCATCTTTTTTGCGGAAGAAAAGTGTTGCAGTTGAAACTTGTAGAAGTTTATGGCAACATTGGTTCAACTGATAAATCATGTAGGAAATGGTTTCGAAATTTCAACAATAGTGATTGCAGCGTTCAAGGGGACAAAATCGCACAAAATCGTTGGGAGTAAGTCAACAAGCAGTTTTCATACGATTGAAATCTATGAGAATGATGCAAGAAATAAACTTGAATGCCTTATGAACTTATGAAACCGAGAAATATTGAAAGGCGATTTTACGATCATTGGCCAGGCACTAATTCAAACGCAATGAAAGATTTTTTCATCAGATTGTAACTGGAGTTGACAAGATATTCGATGACGACTGTAAGAAGAAAAACTACTGTGCTATATTCAAGGATTGAAATATATGTATGGGGTGTATGTGATTGGATTTTATTACAGGTGGTCGGTGGTCGACTACAACAGATTCATTTGAGCCGTGCATTGTGAGATATACGGCCGGAATACGAGCAAAGACATGATAAAATTATTTTTTTGCATGGCAACACTCGGCCGCAAGTCGCACAAGTCGTAAAAAAATATATGAAAACGGTCCAGTGGGATGTTTCTCTCACTAATCTTGCTCCTTCTGATTACTGGTTCGTTTCGACGAATGCATTGCGGCTCTCTAAAAAAGACGATCGATTTTTTCGAGACGGAATTTGAAAGTTGCCTTATAAGTGAGAAAAGGTACTAACCAGCAACGGGCGACACTTTGACAAGTGCGCTTGATTCGTTTTGTTGCGAAATGAATGCATTTTTCACCAAAAAAACGGACTAAACTAATTTATATTCCCAATATTGCTCATATAATAATTGAAGAATCAGACGTCTATGTAATTTAAGAAAGAAAATTCCAATTTGGAAATATACATTGGAATATACTTTGGACGTATGAATATATTTGCATATAATCTGAGTACGTCACGATTACAAGAACTTTTTGTATAAAGAAAATACGATTGCTACACAAAGAGATGGAAACTTTTCACCTATCAGGACACGCTTAAATTAAAGAAAAAGATATAATAATTCTTTCTGATGCTGTTGCTTTAATAACTTTCATTAACGGAGTCTAATGTGGCGCAAATATTTTATTCGTCGAATTTAAAGACGAATTACTTATGTGAAAATGAATATAGACTTCAAATTTGGTTCAACCATTTTAAGTTGATTGCCTTCCATCAAAGCTGGAAAGAGGCATAATTCGAATACATACTTCGAAAATGTATAATACCATAGTGTTTTGAGCTTTCCGAAAAAGCAACATTCAATCAATTATATTTAAAATATTATTTAAAATATTATAAATTGTAATAGTGATTATACGCTTGTAAGCCAATGACAATCCGCCGTAGATTCGCCAAGCTTCAAAAAAGGACATCGTTAACCTTGTGGAATAATAAGTGCATTGAAGTCTAGGATCATCACTATTGTTACAATACCAAAGGTCTCATTTGCCATAGTGTTTAATGCAGGTTATATGTATTGAATCTTTGAATCATATTCATTTAAAAGGAATAGTTAACATACCGCAATACTTCATCCTATTGCTTCAGTTTAACCCAAATACAGCAAGATTGTTATGTGGTCAACTTATCGGATTTAATGGGAATTTCAGTCATCTCTTCTCTATTAAAAAAGTTTCTTTTCAAAATATTGTCAAGTCGGAAGTAAACTAAAGAAAATTTGTAACGCGTCAATTTGCATTTTCTCGTAATTCACGTATGGTTATCTAGAAAGAGAGAGAAGAAATAATTTTCTTATCATGGAATTCTCCAATGAACTGCAATAAATTATTAAGGTGAATCAATTTCAAAAAAAAGGATAGATTTTAATTAATTTATTATTACACAATTACCTTTTACTTATTTCGCATACGGGATGTGTGGAAAACATAGCATGAGTTATAAAGAGAGAATTGTTATATTAATAACAATATAATAATGCAATACGAGCTCAATTGGTCAAGCAAAAAAGGTAGGGAAAGAGGGGCATAGTGGAATATATCTTTTAATATTATGGTAAAATTGCAAAACCACAAACAAACAATTTACATACATTTAAATAAACAAATATACAATGTATTAATAATTGTTAGGAACATAGCCTCAAAGTCATATTATTAAAACAAAAAGAGAAGAATTTTCATATGGGGAAGCACATATTAAAGTATAGTCTGATGAGTGAGCGAAAAGTTAAAAGGAAAACAAACGAAACATTTAATATCAATTCATATCTAAATCTTCCAGGCGTACTGGCTGTGTGTACGGTATAATCGACTTTTTCTCCGCATCACGGGACAAAGCCTTACGCATATCTAAAAATTACAAAACAAATAATTAAAAAAAAAAACGGTAAATTTTTCATCTCTTATTACTGACCATACGCATCTTCATCATTTTCGCCCGAATAATAGTCCAATATTGTACGATAAATAATATAACCCAAATTTTTGTACATATTAATAGCCACTTGATTACTTTTACGCACAAATAGATCCACAAAATACGCCCGTTTCCTAGAGAAGTTTGAAAAAGAACATGCAATGCAAAAACTTCATGTAGAAAAAAAGATTATACTTTTCTGAGATATCTTCCAAGAAATTCATTAATAGTCCGGCCAACCCTAAGCGGCGATAATCTGGAGAAACGGTTAAGGCAGTAACATGACCATGCCAATTTTCCATATGACCTTCAACTTTGCCCATGACTTTTTGATTGAAAATAATTTGTGAACTACTATTCCTTTTTCTTTTTTACCTTCTACTTACTATAACCCATAATTTGGCCGCTGGGCGATTCCGCTAATTGAAAGTACTCCGGCCATCTGGCCAAGTATTGTGTATAAAATGACAAACCATATGTTTCTGTAAGGGGATCGAAATTGCTGTCAATCAAACAGGACAGCAATGAACTCTCAGTTTTCTTTTTTGCCAAATTTCGAAAAAATATGATTACTTACACATTATTAAACTTAAATAAATCATCACAAGTAAATGGCCGTAGGGTAGTCATAATTTTTCCTTTTTTTTTCTGAAATTTTAACGTAAAATTTTTATTAAATTCACACCTTAAATATTTGTTTGCCTTTGTATTCATATAAATATATATAATTAAAAGGGTTACCAACTTTAAAAAATAGCAACTTAAATAATGCTGTTTTTCTTCTTCGTCCAGAGAAGATTTATATGTCGCAGATATTCCTATCTTGATCATATTTGCGTAATAATGCATTTTTTTTTTGTTAAGTATTGGATATCTATCTATATGTATTCATTATATATATATACATACATGCGGGTGCATTGGGGTGTGAATACATACATATATATAAATAAATAAATTTGTTTATATTACAAAAAAAATTATTTGTGCAAATGTACATTTTAAAAATTTGAATTGTTTTTGTATGAAATATATATTTATAATTTTTCATATCTGGCAGTACTTCTCTGACAAAATTCGTTCATTAAATTTTATTCGTGCAGCAGCAAAACGCGTCGTGTTGTTCGTCGAGAAGATTTGTAAAAATTTTATGATTAAGTATAAATAATGTGAATATATTTTGGAAATATATGTATTATTGAATAATTCATTAATCTTAAAAAAAAAGTGTTAGAAAATCTATAATATATTTTGTACGGCTACAAAAATTTTAATAAAAAGCCTGTCTGCCAAAATAAAAAGTGCAAATGAAAGTGGGACAAGCAGCAGAGCAGAGCAGCATAGACGACGACTAACACATACACGTAACTCGTATACAACAAATTGTGGACAATGTTAAAAGAAATAATTTTCACAAAAGCAAATAATAATAAAACAAAAAGCAAAAGGAAATCTGTAAGAAATATGTAGGAGGAGGAGTAGAATAAAAAGAAGCAGCAGTTGAAATTTATAGCAAAGAAAACCGTAAAGCATTTGCAACACTATTTGGAGTAATCGTAAAATAAAAACGTGCGTGTTGAAAAAGCGTTAAAATTTCTTTATTTCATAGTAAAATTTTAAAAGGAGAATTTCCAAATTAAATGAATTATAAATATTACAAAGTATTTATTTTACTATCCAGAAAGCGAAGAAGAAGAAAAAGTCTTATTTAGCCGCGTTTGTTCTTGTGTATTTGTATGTGCTACGCTTAATACGGGATTTCGGTAGACATCGTTTTTGATGTCGTTTTCATTTCTTTTCCTATCATATTTTTTTACTTTATAAGGTTAAATGCCTTTACGACAAATTTGAAAGAAATTTTAGTATTGACAAATTATTTTAATGCTTAAAAAAATTTATTTTATGGATATTGTGCTTTATATCATAAAAAAAGAACCATTTAATGTGCTGCTGTCTTTCTTTGCCTGCCGCAGTTCGAGGTGAGTTTACAGTTGTGTTATTATTCGGTGTTAGGTTATTCATTTAGTTTTTGTCGCTTTCGTTACTATACACGAATAAACCGCGCATTTCTCCGCTTTTCTCTCTAGCACTGCCAGATTAAAAAAAACATATATATATGTGCATATGTAAAAAGAGAAATTACATGTATATCTCCCTCTTTTTGATTTGCAAAGTAAAACGAAGCTATAAAGAATTCATTAAGGGAAAAAGAAGTTATAAGGATTTAAGTTTTTCTAATGCAAGACAAAGAATCCTAACTTTTATATGTTGCGCAGTTGTATGCATATGCGTACGGTGATTAAGATCAAGGTTAAACTGAAAAAAAAAAAGAAAACGCATGAATTTTTATAAACAGATGATGATATATTTCTGTTTTTTCTTATGGCATATATATCATCATCTAAGACTTGTTTTTAATAAAGAGGGCTGCAACAGTTTGTACACTGTCGTAGCCACGACTTTAATGAAAGCTGATTTCTGAGAGTAGTGGAAATGACTAATGTCCTTTTTTCTTGTACATCTTTGTAGGCAATTCTTTTAAAAGAAATTTTTAATTTCATTTGGTTGCGACTAAAAGTGATGATACCGAAGTATCTGGTTTGAAATGATTTTTAAAAATTTGACATTAGATGGGTAGGTTCATTTAAGTTATATACAAGTGTTTCTAAAAGTAATCTAAATCCAAAGCTGGCCGTTTTTAATAATTTTAATTTAAAATTCATTCAACAAGTAATCTTAAATAAAAGTTGTCCATCACATTTAAAATCACCTATAACTTATTGCTTCCTAATATCAAAAAACATTATTATTATTATTATTATTATTAATTTCGCCAGAGAAATAAATTCTAAGACTAAATTCTTAAAAGCACTAGCATCTAAGGCTATCGGCCTTTATTAAAAACTCTACCGCACTTGAGATTCGAACCCACGACCACTGAGTTGCTAGTCGAGACTTTTGCCTACTCGGCCACCCAGGCGGATCAAAAAACATTATTTTCCTTTTGTTTAAATAAATAAATAAAAAAAAATAAAAATACTAAAAGAACTATTTACCTTTCTATATTTCTTTTAAATATATAGCCCGAGTAGAGCAAGAAGGCGAACAAGTAATCGAAATTAAGGATTACGCGTACCCAAATGTAAATCCATCTCGGTAGGCCTGCCAATGCTAGGACAAAGTTTCTTTGACAATATCGAATATATTATAAAACCCCGCTATTTTATAGTACTTTTTAACCTCGAGGACTTTTACCCAGCAACGGGGAAATCGCAAAGACTATTAAGCGTTTGAATGTCCGTCTAAAGAAAACTAAAATGAAAGAATACAGGAGCCTAGTGTACTTCGTTCTCAAAACTAATGATGTTGGCTACACTAGGACTCCAAAAGACAAAAAAAGAATCCCACTTTATTATCGTATCTGTGAAGCAAGCCACCAAAAAGAAATCTTGTAGGATTATACCGTTATCATTTTGTTTCACTTGCTGTTTGATTGACCTCGATATGCATTATGTGAAAAGTATAGGTACGATGTTTTATTTTTTACCTGTACTGTAGCGTAAGTTGAATGATTGCCTGGCTTTGTTAAATGTTCGCTATGTGAACTCGAACTGGACATAAATTAAAAATATTAAAATAAAAATATCACGAGGAGTTGTAATTCTATACGCTGAATAACAAAAATATTTGCAACTGAAACAATGTGAGACAAGAATAGTAATAAAAACTTAACTTATGTGATTTAAATATATTTGTATGTAGTTATAGAGAGAAAATTCTAAACCACATGCCAAGAACGCCAGTTTGAAGATCAAAGTCAAAATGAAAAGTTTGTTTCAATGCTGAACTTTCTACCACTGAAACTCAGCATTGCAATTAAAAAACACAGTTACGCGATAGTAGCGAATTATCTTTTTTATGTAAATTTTATGACTGAGGTAAGTTTTCAAAGGCTTTGAAAATGATGAGTGTTTTTGTCTGAGAAGGATGAAGGAAAGATGATTGAAATATTATTCTCAAATAAAATTTAACCAGCGTCAATACTCAGTTTAAAGGGGGCACCAATAATTAGTTTATTTGAAAATAATTTAAATGGAGCCCTCCCCCCTTCCACATCCAATTATTGTCAATAGTTTAAGTTCATACTTTAAAAATCTATTTTAGTTTTATTTATTTAAGCAGCTATTATCACCTCTACAATAAGGCTCAAACCTTCTAAATTCAAGTATAGATGTGTTATAGGTGAGCAAATGCTATGTCGATATGTCGAATAGTGATCATAAATAGTATAACCCTATTACAGTCTAAGTCATGATGCATGTTTAGGAATGCAGAAGATCTTAACTAAAATGTGACAACGAAACCCAATAGAATATCAATTGGCTTAGCGACTAGTTGGATTTCAATATCCTGCTAATAAGTGTTTAAAACCACCGGTATTGGCAATCGTTTACAAATCCGATAGTAGAGCTTCCATGTATAAAATAGTATCGTTCTGAAAATAGGCTATAATGACTCATCTGTGTAATCTTTATGCCTCTATTGCTGGCTGCAAATCTTTACGTAGGCAACGAGGCTGCCTAGTGTAGGTAATTTTATGTAACACTATCACTGCTATGGGACTCTTTGCTGGAGTATATTTTCAATTACGACGACTTCTTATGATGACAAATTTTCTTCTTCTCGAACACAGTTTCATTTCATTGTGGATATAGGTGCGGGCATCAGATGATTGTAATTTAAAATGAAAACCTCCTAATTTGTAAATTTAAAAAAGGAATAAGAAGAACCTCTGTCAGCTGCGCGTATTAACCTACAAAAAAAAAAAAATTACATATATATTCGAGGCGCCTGCAAATTTGAAAGAAAAATTCCCTTCATATGCTGAACACAGTAGAAAGAGACTTTTATTACCACTGTTCTCATAACTAAACACCGTTGTACTGAAAATTTTGTACTCCAAGTTTGTTACTATTTTACGAAATTTTCAAGTAACCAATTTAGGTGTTATTAATAGTTCCATTTTACAAAAATCGAAGGCTCAACTGACTGAAAACAATCGCCGGTGTAGTTGAAAGAACTCTCTCAGACGCTTGAAAATCGGTTACCTTGGATTGGGTGTGCTTGGCCAAATTAAGTTTGTAATAAAAATCATTTAATTAGGAGCAATTATCAACCAAGGATGAATAAGATATTTTTGTTGGTAGCTTCTAAAACATCATCCGGCAAAAGGAAGTGCAAATCTAAAAGTTCAAAATCTCAGCCCAGTGACAAATAAATAGTCTTCTGTATAGATTAACAAATGTCGCGTCGAGGACACCTTCGGAAACATGACCTTTAAGTCTGAAAATATATTTATCTGTCGTAACTTGTAGCCTATAGCAGTAGGGCTGGTAATTTTATCACCATAACAATAACAATTCTAACTTCGCCACTTATTTCCCCAAAAATAACTAAGCCATTCTTGCACAAATTTATACGACAGCAATATGATATTCCATGGAAGGGGGCATACATCGGCATATAATATGCATACGATTAACGCCTCATAATTTATACGCAGGCGTACGCACTTTACTATGAAATTGTTAGATAAACAAAATTAAGGCGTAGATGCTAAGTTTTCAATCAAATCTCTTGACCTAACAAAGAAAAAAAGAATTTGAAACCACATTTGTTGTCATAACAAAAACTTTGATATTATAAATTGCATTCTGGTCGTAAGTTTGTCCTAATCGTAAGAAGGAAGCAATACATTATTTCGACTCATCGCAAAAACCCTCCTCCGTCCTCTTCATTTTTTTTGTTTGCATTGTTTTAATGGCCGGCACGGAAATATACTCTTATATTACTTACCGCGCTTGTTGGAACTAGTGTAAAAACAAGCTAAATTGAGCTTAGCTTGCAAGAATTTTTGTAAACATTTCTCATAACGTTAAGGTGCTGACATACCTTGCCTACAGGTGTGCAATGCTAGTGATATATATCAGGGTTCATTGTGTTTGATAAAGTTGTTTGGGTTCTGTGGTGAACATGGCGGCCAAATTGTAATTACCATCCGTGGACATAGCTTGAGTAATAATTACTATCCTTATTTTACGGTGGCATAGTAATTTTGGATTTTTTTAAAAAATCTATTTTTCTTCGAATGTTTCAATACATGCAATAACATTTCTTTTCCCCAAAACAAAATCTTCAATGTTTAATTATGTATATATATATATATATATATATCATATATATAACATATCTATATATGTCGGGTTGAGTAAATATTTTTTTAACAGGAATTTGTCATGAAATTTGATTTTGGAAGATAATTCATATTATAGCAAGTATTAGAAAAATGTTTCTCATTTTTTAACAAATTGCGCGAAAATCCTTGAGAAATGTATCTTATAATGTGCTATCCATCATACACCATGTCCCGTTCTATCAATACGCTTAACTTCAATATTTGACAATTAACAACAAAAGATTTTACAAAACGAGATCGAATTAATTACTGACAAGATGTCATCTATACGCTTAACACGGTCACTATTAAAAAGAAGTGAAGAAAGGGAAAGAGATAGGGAGTGAGTGCGTGCGTGCTCAATCGCTAAATGCTATGCTGCTTTTATCGGCTAAGCATTCAGTATAGCTGCGGCCAAAGTCAATTCTAATGTACTTAGATTTGCACCCGCGAACAGTGACATGGTAGTCGCGATTCTTACCCAACTGGCTGCTCTTACCTTCTTGAATATACATTGAGTACTTGAATAAGGAAGCATTGACATTAAATAAGACATATGTCAAGCTTATAATTCTCCTTGCGATGAATATAGAAATAAACATATATATACATACAGTTTGGCCATATGTATGTCATGAGCATAATTAGTTATCAAACTATTGACAAATTACGGTAAAAATTAAACCTCTATCTGTGATAATGAACATTCTGCAGTAAGTACATTAATATTGTTTGCTGCTTCTAAACACATGGGAATATCATATAATATATATATCTGTATTCGTGCTATCGTAGATAGATGCTATTATTACAGTTAATAGTTATTTTTGTTGATAGTTTGCTGCTTATTGTATTTAGTTCCTTTCAAAGAGAGAGAGAGAGAGAGAGAGAGAGAAAAAAGAAAGAGAAGTTACTGTTACTAGTTTACCTACGCTTAGTGTGGAAAAACTAAATGAGTATTCTCTCATCAAACCAAAGTTTATTTAGATGTCGTAATTGAATTTAGCCTAATATTTACGTATTAAATGCTTTCCTCAAAGATTAGGTGCTAATAAATTTTTATGAGATTTTTCGTATAAAAAATGCCTATAGATATTTATAGCATGCAGGAATTGTTACTTTGAGGAACGCTCGTATTTGTACTCTCGCACTCGCACTCGCAATTTCTTTTTTATTTTTTCTTTTTAAATGCTTTGCAATAATCAATGTGTGTGATATTATTCGGGCTTTGCTTTTGCTTTTATGTGTAGTTTTTTTTTTTTTGTTTTATTCAGACAAACTAACTGAAACGATAATTTTATTTGTATTTTGAGTCTTTTACAAGCAGTTCATGCATGAGCTTGTTGTCTATGTTTGTGTTCGAGTATCTCTCTCTACCTACTAAATTGTCGACCGCTCGTGTATTCGTTTTTATATGGGTGCCTTCTTTCTTTTTTTTTTGTTTTTTTTTTTTTTTTTTTTTTTGTATTCTATAAACCATTTTGTGTGTTGCTCTTTATCTTGCGCGCCTCGTTTTTCTCTGTGTTATTTGTAATTTTTCATTGTCTCTTTCATTCGTATTCGTTCGTTTGGTTCGTTGGCACTGTGTATAACGTGAAAATTTTTGTGAATTGAAAAAAGAAAAAAATAATAAGAAAAGTAAAGAAGAAAGAAATTTTAACTAAATATTTTCGGTTGCGATTAAAAAAGTTTCATATCGATAACTGAAAGCAAGAAATTTTGCAATTACTGCTTGCTTCGTGTGGCGAAGTGTCTACCTTTGTAAAGTTAAGCATAGTTGTCTTGCTTTAAAAAGCATAGCTGGCCTAGTGAAAAATATGTACATAAATATATACTTATACGCATATGTTTGCTTAGACAAAAACATAACCAAAATGTTGTTGGTTGGCCAGAGGTCTGGTTAGTTTTATTGCTGCTTGTGTGTGAATGTGAATGTGTTCGTATGCGTACGTGGATGTGCGTGCGTATGTGTGCATACACGTATGTAGTAGTGTTTTATAATTTTCCTTCAATTTAATTTAAAACATTAACCATGTCTTGTCGGTGTGTTATGAATATAACTAATTCGGGTTGTGTGTGCATCTAAACGAGAGAAAAGGAATTTCATTTCATTTCTTTCTTTTCTTTTTTTTTTTTATTCTATAAGTGAATAAATTTTTGTGTTTGCATTTTTGAAAGAATTATTTGTCCGGAAAATTTGAAAATTAACTTTGATTAAAAATTACTCTCTTTTTATTTTTATTTTTATAGACTCGAGCGGTTTGGGTCTGTTATGGCTATCAATGCATGCCTGTGTGTGTTGTGTATGTTTGTTACAAGGTTATTTATGTTACTCATTTTTTTTTTTTTTTTTTTTTTTTTTTTTTTACTTTACATTACATTTGTTGTACTTTGAATAAATTTTAATTTTTTTTAAAATTATATATTCACTATATTAATAATTGCCGATTTTCTCTCTTAAGTACTTTTAATTTGTTTTCGGATTATTATTTTATATATATATATATATGTATTTTTTTTTTTTTGGTTTCGCTCTTGCTTTGCTTTAGCTTTCGCTTTCGCTCGCTCGCTTATCTCTCTCTCTCTCTCTCTCTCTCTTGCTCGCTCGCTCGCTCGCTCTTTTGCTTTCTTTTTTCTCTCTTCCTTCTTCTCATTGTTTGCTGCTTCTTATTCCCAGTTGTTTGTTTGTTACATTATCACATTAATGCTGCTTTTTTTTAGTTTGTCACGAGAGCTTGTAATAATGTAATTGGCGGCTTACGGAGGATCCTATAGCTTAATCAATGTAATGTGTTCGTACAGATAATTAAAACGCAATTAGCTTGGCCTTCTGTCAGGGTGTCTTTTTACATGTAAGCACTTTCGAGTTTTTAAAAAAGAAGCGCAATATTTTAAATTTTCGAAACGTTGTCTATGGAGAGGAAAGGGTTTTCTTGTTTATCATACGTGATTACATACGTGGGCAAATACATACGAGTGCCCGAAAAAATCAAGTCGATGTATGATATGTCCACCGTTTCTCCTAAATGTATTTGTTGAAAAAAAAAAAAACAAAAAAACCAAATGATATTAGATTACGTGAAACTTTTCGTGAAGTTTTATGGGAAAGTTGCGAATATGTTTAAATAAATTTTACATTTGGTTCCTTCTTCGCTCAATCTGTTGTTTTCTGTTGTTAGTTAAGAAAAGGAGTTTTTCCCGTTTTCATGTCCATAAAACTAAAACATGCGATGATAGATAGATAAGTATGCCTCAGCAACAGTTTGCTCAGAATTTAATGTACGCCATTTTGATCCTTTTTATCTTCGATCTTCAAATAAAAAAAAAGAAATTATCAAAAGGCGTGTCACGATGTTTTTTTTTTTGTATGAAAAGAATTTCGAATATCTACAATCAGTTCTCTTACACTTATTCGTACATTTCAATTTCCTCGTTTCGACCAATTCCCGTAGCCGTGAACAACAAGGACGAAAGGTAAAATTCAGAACAAATAATTCTCGAGCGATTATTGTGTTATGACATGTTTGTGTCCTGCCCGCCCGCAATATAAAAGAAATTGAATTAATCTCCAGACTAATATCCAGATTGGTTTCATATTTTAGTTCACAATTCCATCAATCCGGTAAAGATATTTTAGAAAACCTGTGAGATCCAGCTGTTTTTTAGAATCACCTTAGCGTTTCGTTTAAAAAAAAAAAAAAGGCTCACTGACACGTTCAGAATTAAAATGATCAAATTTTAATTTCGATTTATTTCCAACATACTCTAAAACATATTACCACGTGCCTTCAACCAATTGCATAATGCATTGCCATTAAATTGGAATTAAAATCTTTTCGTTAACAAATATTGAGCCTGTATTGATAAATCGATCCGACAGCTATTTTTGGAGTGAACGTGTACAGTGACGAATACTTGGGGTAGCAAGTTTTGCAAATTTTGATCAAAAGTGGACTGTTTTTTCCACTTTGCCCTCAGTTACTATTCTATTGCGGGCAGATCATAACTATTTTTTAACCTCGAGTTCTTATTCGATCAAGAAACGTTCGCATCAAATTTCAATTTCCTCTCATCATTTTCGCGATTTCGGCAGTTCGACAAAGAAAGATGAAGATCAAAATGATGAACTCTTCGGCACGCACACTATCTAGGCAACAGTGTGCAATTCTCTGAATGATTTTGAGAAATTTGGAAAATTGTAGTTCAAGCTCATACGAATATTTTGATTGATTTTATAATCATTTTGGCTCAACACAAGTACCCGAGAAGAAGAACTTATGGCCGCCAGTATTCTTGAGAAACGAATGTAGGGGCCAAAGTAGTAGTTCAATCCTTTTTACAATTAAACCGCAATATGTTATCTTAAAATTGCAGCCATTACGCGATTTACATATGTGGATAAGATGTGCAAGAAGTACTAAAATGTTATAACCCTTCTTAACGGTCAGTGAACGTGAATTACTACGATAATGAGAAGAATGAAGTTAAGCATTACATAGTTAATGACATAGTTTTAAGTAAATTTTATTGCGTATCTCTATTTTAGTTTGGTTGACATATTAAACAATTTCGTTTTAATTGTAGACCATCATAGCCATCATCGTCCATTTCCGTCGAAGTTTCATGCATTGCCCAAGTTTTTTCCACGTTTACACTTTCACTATGAATCATGCTACGAATGCATAGATAGATGCGCAATAATAAAGCAAGCGCGGAACAGCAGTCAAAAATGAAGATCTTCCCTAAGCAAGCATTTTTATATATCTACGCGCAACGTCTAAAAATCACAGAGAGGCAGTTATTGAGTGATCGGTGGGCCGTCCGACTATTGAAATAATTGGACGATGAAAAAATCCTATCCTCCAGTTGAGTTGTGCGCTCTCCTTTTTGTCTGTCTGTAGTAGGCAAACTTCAGCGATGAACTGCATCACTCCATGTGTCTGATTGCTCGAGTAGTTAGATTAACTTCGGGATTTAGGAAAAGCCCTTCGATTTATTTAATACTTTCAACGGCCAATGTATTTTATCCGAGTGGCCGAGTGGATAACGCGTAAAAGTTAGTTTATATTACAGGTAATATATTTAACTAATGAAGCCGGTCCGGACAATTGTCTTGGCTCGGTGCCTGCTGTCATTGACTGGCTAATCTTGACTGCGATTGTCGTTTGTCGTGTTGGTAGATGTTAATGTCGTTTTGATTTTTTTTTATTTTTTTTTTTTTTTCCCTCTGTTTGTTATTATTATTATTATTATCGTTGTTGTTCTCGTTGTTGTTGTTGTTGTTGTTGTTGTTAGGTTTAGCTAAGGTGAACGACCAGAAACCAAAACAATGCGAGTATGCAACAATTGTTTTTGCGCTTTTACGTGCGTTTCTCTCTGTTTTCTATGTACACACTCTCACTCTCTCCTGTTTAGTTTGCGCTTTTCAAAATTCATTTGCTCTCCTTCGGCACATATAACGATAATGATGATGAGGATGACCGTCGTCGCCTGTCTCTACGCCTTTAACTATCTCAAAAATTGTAACGCCATGTGTTCAGCAATTTTTTTTTTTTTTTTTTTTTTTTTTTTTTTTTCTGTTGCAGTTAGTTTTACTTTTCGTTTTCAATGAAATGACCGACATTCAGTTGTTTTGCTTTGCTTTCAGTTATAATATTTAAATAATATCATCACAGCTGATGATTTGTCTATTAACAATCGCGACAGCGATGACGACAGCGGTAGCAGCGAGAATACAACTATAGCAAATTTCAAATATGCTCCTGTTATCGAGCTTTTAAAGCCGTATGTTTGTTTGCTAATAATGATGTAGTGGTAATAATAGTAACAAACAAAATTTTACACTTACATTGTAAGCCAGCCTTGTACAGCTTTACAGCTAAATTAATTCCTTGATCTTTCTTATTGCATCCAAGAAGGAAAGGCGTTTAAAAACGAGTCATCAAATATTTTATTGATTCATTTTATTAATAATTAAAAAAAAAAAAAAAAAAAAAATATATATATATATATAAAATATTACTCATTTCAATGCTGAACCGGAACTCATACAACATATCCACATTTAATTGTATTATTTTTTTTTTTTTTCTTAAATATTAATATTTGAAATGCATCGTTTTGTTTTTACTTGACAAAAAACTGAATTCAACTGAGTTTTGCCCTTCGCGTTGGAACATGTAGTATAGTATGCTGACATACTCCTTATTCGCGCTTCGTTTGTTCGCGGATGAAAAAAAAATGCGACCTATTCGCATATTCGCGGCTATAAATTTTTTTATTCGCGGCTTTTCAGAATGTAAATGAAAGGAACCTTATTACTCAATGAATAAAGTATTGTTGCGAAAATCCCAAATCCCTAGTTCATTTCAGCTAAGTAATTTCCCCAGATAACAAATTGCCTAAAGAGGGAAAAACTGAATGCACATTCGCATTCAATTAAATTGATTTTTTTTTTTTTGGTTTTATCACCTAGGAACGTATCCCCTAATTACCATTCCGTATTCACGGTTTCTTTTTTCATTTTATCACCTAGGAACGTATACCCTATAATCCCATATAAATTACCATTCCGTATTCGCGGCATTTTTATGCAACGTATCCCCCGCGAATAAGGAGCTTTTACTGTATCTGATATGCGAGCAATTATAATACCCATCAGGATCGCATATATCGCAAGCCTTATGCTTAGGGTCATTGTCTTGATAAAAATAAAAATAAAAATCTTCACCAAGATCAAGTTTAGTTCTTTATCCTACAAAGGGGGTAAAATTTTTGTTCAAAACCTTAGGCGAATTCATAAATGCCCTCAACAAAATATAATACATCAGATCCAGATCCAAATGCAGAGAATAAGTACCATATCATTACCGAACCATTTGCCATGCTTAGCTTTGGCAAGAAGCGTTTCATTCGAATTTCCCCATTCGGAGGTACGGTCATCTGAACCGAACACCTTGTCCGTGAATAGCCCGACCTTA